TTAAACACTTTATAGGAAGTATATGGTATATGGATCCAGTGGGAATGCTTGTTGGCTTACATGGCACCAATTTCATTCAGTTACAAGTAGAATATGTCTTTTAGATGATGATGAATTTAATAATACACCTTACCCACCGAGCTTCATAGTTAGGAACAGTACCTTATGGTGTGGACTGCTGGTCATTGTGAGTAGCATGGCTCACTGTTCCTGATAGCATTCAATGTTTCATGTAGCGTGTTACATGACTTAGTTTCATTTCTGTGATAAAAACATCCTGATAACAAGCAGGAAAAGGGGCTTATGTTAGCTGGTCTATCTCTCAGGGAAGTCAAGGTGCCAGGGACTGGAAGTGGCCAGTCAGGTACACATCAGGAGGTAGGCATCAGCTGTGAGCCTTGTGCACAGCTCTCTCCCTCCACTGCCTAGGAATTGTATGAGCCTTAGTGATCAGTACTTTCCACATCAACAAGCATATCTAATCAAGTGTGGCTTGTCCCACAGACAAGACAGGTACCTGATCTAGAGGCTCTCTCATTGAGACTCTGTTATCAGGTGATTTGTAGATTATGTCAAGTAGATGATTAAAAAGGTCAAAACTCGAAGAAAGGCTTCTCCTGAATGCATGTGTCTACTCTACCATCATGATATTGGAATATATAAGTTGAACAGTTGTAAATCAGCAAATATTTGAAATTCATTTTTCTTCCTCATTGTGAGTTTTTTTTTTATTGGTAACAATGGGGTTTTTTTGGTATTTTTGTTTACTACTGGAAAATTTTATGCATATATACAATGTTTTGATAAATCCATACCAAACTCTATTTTATATCCTTCCCTTCCTCCTCCTTCCCAACGTCATGGTCCTTTTTCTTTTTTTAACCCGAGTTTACAGATTGTTACCAGTATGTGCGTGGGTGGAGGGCCAGCCACTGCACTGTGAGCAACCTCTCAGAGGCTGCATTTCTTTCCCAATAGCCATCAACTGCCAATAGCTCCTCAGTCAGGGACGGGACTTTGTGAGACTGTCCCCATCCATGCTGGGGTTTTGCCTGGCTTGGTCTTGTGCAGGTCTTACACATGCAGTCACAGCACTGTTGAGTTCTTGTGTGTAAGGGCTGTGTTGTGTCTGGAAAACCGAGTTTCATAGCAATCTCTCAGAACCTTGGGCTCTCAACAGTCTTTCTGCCCCTCTTCCACAGCGATCCTTGGGCTTGGGAGGATGGGGCCTGATGCAGTTGTCAACACTCAGCTGTCTTACTCTATGCACTTTGACCAGCTGTGTGTGAGCGTCTGTATTAATTAATAGCTACTACAGAAGGAAACTTCTGAGGAACCGTGAGAACTGCCTTAATCTGTAGGTATTGAAAGGGAAGTTGTGAGACTTGACATGATTGTGCCTTATAGACCTGGCTGGACTGTGGCCTAACCTTGCTTTGAAATTACAATCCTTATGCTTCAGCCTCTTGAGTGTCAGTGATAATAGGCATGTGTCACCATGCCCGGTATATCACTCCTTAAATCATAAATATATAGATATGACTTTCAACTCTTCCATTACTTTCAGAATTTCCCTTCCTTGATTTCTTTCCTGCATCCTAATATAAAGATCAGCTTATTTATTTTTAAGCAAGTTTCATTAAAGAGCAGGATTGTTTTGGGCTTGTGTTTTTACCTGTTTCTAAAGGCGAGGCTGAGTCCTGACTGTGAGCTGAATTTGATGCAGTGGCCGAGTAGCTGATAGCAGTGAGTGTGTGAGACGGATTGAAGGCGTTTGTGCTCGGCTTCAGTTACTGCCAAGGAAGAAAGGAGAGCAAAAGTGATGAGATTAGAGAACGCTTAGACTTTGAAAAGGTTAGCCAACAAAGAGGAGAGAAAGATGTGGCCAGGAACACAGAGACAAAGGCAGTAGGGCCCAGAATGTACCTAGAGGCCCACATGCGGAGGGGATGGTCCTCAGCCTAGAGCTGAGAAGTGGTGGGGCCTGTTTGGAAGAAGTTAGGTCTTTGGCTGAGAGCCACAAAAGGTATTTCTAGTACAGGGGCCTCTTCCTGATGTCTTTGCTGGGATGGGTCTAGGTCTCTCCTGTCACCTGTACCTGTCATGTCATAGGACCATAGATTGCAGTAGCTGGGCCCAGTTATCGCAGAGGGAGAACTCATAAATAAATTTTGAGCCAAAATAAGCCTTTCATCTTTATATTTTGTTTATCTTGGGTATTTTTCTCACAGTAGTAAAAGCTTGAACAGCACAGATACAAAAATCAAATGTCAAAATTTTTAGTAATCTAAGTGAATTTTTAATTAGCTAAAAGCCTGACAAACTCCATAGAAATCCCAAGTTACCTTGACAAAATACAAGATCTTTGTTCTTTTTTTTTTTGTTCTTTTGTTGTTGTTTTTGAGACAGGGTTTCTCTGTGTAACCCTGGCTGTGCTGCAACTCACTCCGTAGACCAGGCTGGCCTCAATCTCAGAAATCCACAAGATCTTTGTTCTTTAAACAAATATTTTTAAACCCATATCAGTGTGTGTGTATGTGTGTGTGGGGGGGGCACATTGGGTATGTTATTCAGGTACTATCGGCCCCCACCCCCCTTTTAACATCCCTTTCAGGCTGGTAGCTGTAGATTTCTTTGTCTTTGCTTTCTCAGCACTGGGTAATAAGTGCATGGAACCACTCTGACCTTCTAAAAATGTGGGTTCTGTGAATTCCAATGCATATGCCTCATAACTGCAAGGAAGGCAAGCACTTTACAGACTAAAGCATCTCCCCAGCCTTTACACCACTTCTTTGTTTTTCTTTTCTTTTCTTTTCTTTTCTTTTCTTTTCTTTTCTTTTCTTTTCTTTTCTTTTTTTTTTTGTGAGGGTTGGGCTGGAATGACAAAGTGTTTCTCTTGGCGCATTGTACCACAGGGTGCAATCCATCACGTTAGGGCTTGAGGCAGCCACTCAGATCCCACTTAGTCAGGGAGCCGTGAGCAGGGAAAGATCGTGCTCGCTTTGCTCTCTCTTTAGTCAGTCAGGGACCCGAATACAGGTCATGTGCCATCCGTCTTGAGTGGGCCCTCCCTTCTTAGTTAACCGTGTTTGGTCTAGTAAGTGATTGTAGGTAGATCCCCTCAGGTTGACAATAGAGAATAATTAGCCTCATTAGAGACTCCAGGTGATCCCTGTCATGTGAGCTCATCAAAACCAAGTAACATACTTTTTAGTGATTCATTTTATTTTTGTAATTCCATGAGTATGAGAACATGAGTGCAGGCTCCTGTGAGGCGCCAGGTCCCCTGAAGTTGCAGTGCACTCTTCTCTCTCTCTCTCTCTCTCTCTCTCTCTCTCTCTCTCTCTCTCTCTCTCTCTCT